TATTTTTTTACATTTCATATCAATCGAAATATGCGATTCGTGAGAATTATATCATTTTTTTCTTCTTGATTCTTCTCCTCGCTTCTTCTGCGCAACTTTTTCCACTTCTGATGTCCCTTTTTCTGCCCAGTCGTTCGGACTTTGGAAAAAGTTTCATGTGAAATGGCCATTTGTTGTGTGAAGCATGGTAGACCGGCACCCAGTCATCCCGTATTTATGGCACACAGTGAAGTGCAATAGAATAAATATCAATATCTGTATTAAATTGCAACAATGGTTTTTCAGCATTCGATTAATGCTGGCTGTAAGTGCGTGTTTGTCTGTCGGCATTGTGATTCCTGTATATTGTGCTGCGGCCAAACTTGGCTGACTATGTGTGTGTGCGTGTGTGCGCATATGTGTCTCGAATAATTGTGATTTCATTTCATCAAACAACCATAAAACTTGATTCCAACTTTTACGCCACACAAAAGATGAAGGCGGGAACAGAGACAGAAACATGAAAAAGCACAAGAATCAAGAACGGTAACCGCAAAAGAAAAGTTGGAGCCAATATATATTAACTAGATATTATATAGTAGACTCTTAATTTTCATGTTTTTTTCTGCTGCTGCTTGTTCGTTCGTGTTTGATTTCTCGATACACGCATTCACTGTAGCCTGTCTATGCTCATCTATGCAGAACATTTCACATGCAATCTTTTTCCACACACAGACACACATATATACGTTGATATAAATTCATCAGGCAATGTTCTAATTCATGTGGTTTCTCATTTCTTCAGTACATTATTTTCTAAATACATAATTATACGAATAATATGAACAGAACAAACGTTCTGTTGAACATATTTTACGCAGAATTATTCGATTTAAATGGTTTTTCCGTTTTCTCATCTCTCTCCGCATATCACGTCGCTCTGTTTGGGTATCGAGCTTTTTTTTTTCTTCTAAAACATTAATATATTCGAATGTCGCACGCGCGATGAACACACATTTATAATTTTTATCTATCATTTGATGTGATATAATTGAGCGAAAGGGGAGAATCATCAAGTTCCGAAGATTGGAAGGAAGAGATGCGGAAAAGTTTATATGAATTTAATGAATGAAATTGTCCTCGGATCACACAGATGTATCTCATCACATTATTGCGGTTGCAGGGAGGAAAGCTTTTCCATTGTTGCATTTCTAGCAACGACATGAAAAAAACGACAACAAATTGAAAGAAGAAGAATGTTTATAATTAAATAAAAAAAAATGGAGAAATTAACGAATGAAGCACACATGCATCTCCATTGGAACACTCCGGCTGTTTGCAATGCATTAGATGATTTCATTATGAACCGCAACAACAGAATAACAACATTCGAAGAAACAGATAATTGAAATCCATATTGAAGAAGAGGTAATCAACGTATATTACGCATTAAAATAAACTTTTTACACGCAGCAACATTGTGTATCCATCGTGTCGATAGCAAGGAAAAGATCGAACACTTTTCTTACGTTCATACAGTTGTAACCAGAGCGACTTTTACAACAACAAAAAAAACAGTATGTGTGTATATAATTATCGCACGACAACCGCGACATCAGCTACATCAGCCTCGGTAACGATAAATCGCTTTCTTCCATTTTTCCTCATCTTTCTTTCTTTTCATCATCAGACGAAATTGTCAACCGATTGCTTTTTCGTTCACATTTCTCCCTAATATTTTTTCATTAAAGAAAAATGAAAGGAAAAAAAAACGCGAGAATCAAATAGAAGACTCTACGCTCTTGTCTTTTGCCTTTGATATTTTTAGATCGCCGTTGTCGATGTTTATAATGCAACCGGGAACTAAGACCGCTTCAAGCTTCAATACACCGAATCATGTGCGAGTGTATTAGTTTGTCTCTCGAAAATAAATGGCAAAAAGATGGTCTGGCATAGCGTTTCATATATATTTACATATGTGTGTATACCTATACACTTAAAAATCCGAGGCAACAGAAAATATGTATGAAATGTAAGTGATCCAGATCGTTGGACGCTCAAGTTGACTAATATGAAATTAAAGATCTCCTACACATAAATTGCATCATTCTTCTTGTGCACGGCATTTTCTGTTCCATATGGAACCATATATTTTGTTGTTGCGGCTGTTGCTTCGGAGATCGGTGACATGTCTATTCCATATGCTTAAAAAGTGATCGGACTTTGAAATCGTAATTGAACCGTGTATTATATGAAAATTTATGATTCCATACGTATGTTTTGATTTTTTCTTCTTCTTCTGCTTCGTTTTTAACCGACCAAATACAGTGATTTCACTTCCATATGGAACGACAAACGACTAGAACACACTGAATATGAAAACGCAAGCAAGCGATTCGTGTGTATTGGCGCTGAGGGCAGATTGACAATATATCGGCGCGAAGTGAACGAAAGGCTTAGCAACCAATACACGCTGTTCAACCAAATGGAAAACTTGTATTTGTTCGGTGTAATAATGGATGGAGAAGAAATATGAGAAAATAATAGATAGTAAATGTAATTCGGAACCTATTTTCGGCGTTGGCACAAGGTAAAAATGGATTTTAAGAATGAAACCTTATTTCACATTAGTTGTTGTGTGTATGTGTGCTGAGTACTTGAGTAATAGCAACCATTTATTTTCGTATTTTATCTGTCTATGAACTCTATGGTTTCGCTTGCATGATAATGTGTATTCACAGAGAGTGAGAGAGCGAAATATGAAATAGCACAAAACTAAATTTGTTTCAACAGCTTGAACCCTTTTTTCCCTGATAACCATTTACTGCACACGAACCAGAAAGTGGATGGAATTTCGTGACATTTGTATACGCTCGCGTAATGAATAGTAATCAATTTTTTAGCCTCCACACCAAACGTTGAGAAAAAAACTGCGGGGGTAGTAAAAAAGAGCCACACTTAAGTCAATAGACGCCAAAGCAACAATAAAAATAACAATACGGAACTTCATCAAGGGATGTTTTATTGAGTAGGTGCAAGGCCCTTTGATTCGCTTTCTGTTGCTTTGTTGCTCCATGTATGCATTAGCGTTAAGCAATATTGGGCACTTTTTTCCGTGTGCCTCCACTGTCTTTATGGAAACACTCATTGTTTTGGCTGTTGCACATGCGCCGTGCCATGCTTACACAAATGGCGGGAACCGTTTTTTTTCCACTTTTTTTCTTCCCGTTGATATGATTTGAAGCAAGCAATCGATGCATATCAAACAATGAATTTGACTCGAAACGAGAGCTTTCATGTTATCAACATGCTTTGCTGAAATAAATGCACGCCAAAGCCATAGAATGTGTAGCGGTTTTTGTGTTTATGTTGCACGCACAGTGTGTGAGACTACAGAGGAGAAGTGAAGAGAACCGAAAGGAAAATGGCACGTGTGCTCAATAAAATGTAAACGCAAAGCTTCAACGTATCTTAGTCATGGGCTGTGTTGTATACACACTGTTGCGTTGCGCTCTAGAATTTCATCTCACACTTTTTGCCGCTGTCTTTATGTATCTTAATTCTTTCGATCGTTTTTACAAAAAACCAGAAATTAGGAGACGACCAAAATAAAACGACGATAATTCAATTTGACGGCAGCAGATTGAACATAATCTTCAGATTTTTTTTTTTCTCACTTCAAATGCCTCTTCTGCTCCCGTTCAAGGTGCTGACGATTATTGCTGTCGAGATTTATCGGATCTCTCTCACTAGGCATATAGTTTTGTGTCCATATGTGTGAACGCACATCGAACAAAGCAAACAAGTCAATCAAGAGTTTGCGTTTTTCTATTTGGATTCGCTACGGATTTTCTTTGCTTATTACGTACAATTCGAATGGTTTCCTTTTTTGCGAGCCTGTACGATTTATTTGTACATTTTACTTTTCACGATCGATCGAGAGCTGTCTATTTCAGATTGGGAAGATGACAGCTTATCAGTATGAATACCATCATTCCACTCTTGATTGACCGTAAAAAAAAACTGTGCCGAAACCCATTCTGAAATCTATTTCCGCATTTGTGACGACGACGACGACGACGATGACGATCGTCTAGCAGCCTTTTTCTGTAGAATCACACACGCCACGGAACGAGTGAAAAAAAAAACTGAAAGTTATGCATGCATTTTAATTTAAATTTTATATCACGCCCACCAAAACAGCTAATATCTTTCGCTTCGGTTTTTTTTTTCACATAGCAACTATACGTATAATATAGCACATACATTTCCTACCGAAACCTTAATCCAAACAAAAGAAATAAATTCTGTTTCTGTAAAAAAAAATTATATTTTTGGTTTCTAATCGCATGGTATTTTCAGACTTGTGCGTTTGCCTAATTTAAAATTATTGTCCCCACACAAAAAAATGTCGGTTTTGGCTGGAATCTATTCGAACACCAAACAAATAAAAATTCTATCATGGATGCGTAACATTATGCGTTCGCACAAGTAATTTGAAGCAAACGTGACAAAAATAGCTGACTTGGTGTGCGTGTACGTATAATGAATTCGTGTTGGCTTGTTTTATGGTACTCATTGATGAATGAGAGAAGAAATGGTAAAAATGCCTCTCTCGTTGGATTTGATCACTTTGTTAACAGACAGAATGACTGCTCGTTGACAACACGGCATACACACGGTGTGTGTGCGAATGACTTAATTGCGGGCAAAGAGCATTTGGAAATGTGAAAGTAATAAAGGGAAGAAAACTCCAAATTGAAATTAAAAACCATTGAAAGTCAGCTGAGACTATAAAATGTGAGCGTTGATTCTATTCGCATGGGAAATAAATCTTATTGATGCACCATTTCTATCCACAACCAAATTATTTTCTACTCCATGTCATGCACATACGCATTTTCACGTACGCCGCATCAAAAATATTGTAATTAAATTTTAAAATCTTCTGGATTTTATTATAAACTTAAATGACATGTAAGATTTAAAGAATGGAAACAAATGCAAATGGTTCAACCTACCTGAATCAGATGGTGTCTGTACGCCCAATCCGATGACATCAACTCGGCTTTTACTTCTCGTGTAGCTGTGGTCACTGTGCATGCTTTGTGCGATGTCGTAGGCTGTGATTGTGTTTTTAACCGATGCTGGATTTTGTGTTGGTATCGTAACCATTGTATTGCTCACGTTAAAACTATCGTTGGTAGCATCACTTTCTTCGGCTTCCTCGTCATCCTCCGATTCAAAGTCGGACATACATTTGATGTCATTGATTATTTCATTTAAATCATCTGAATCGGCACCAATGCTTGACATATAACCGGTGACTTTTGGTGCACGATTGCTGCTGGTGTCCTCCAAGTGTTCTTTCAAAATGTTTATAATTTCGGTCGGTGATTCATCGATTAAACTCATTTTATTCGAACCAACGGTGCATGCTTGAACCAAATCAATGTTATGCTTAAACTCGGGTGGATCATCGTCTAAGCTCAATGGAGTGTCTGGGCGTGCAATGAAATCACGATCGTTGAGGAAGTCATTGGTTGTAATATTTGGTACACGAATCGCTGTCGGTTTCACATGTTTCAATCGAAGCAATGATTGACCAGCCGGAATATTTTGTTGCTTCTTCTGTTGAACATTGAGTTTTTGTGTTTGCAATAGCGATGCGGTGTTGTTTTGTTGCTGCTGCGGTTGCTGTTGTTGTTTTTGCTGCTGTTGTGGCTGTGTCGATTTTGTCTCTTGATTCTGTGTGACTAATTTCTTATTGCAGTTATTTCGGCTGTTTAAGCATTCGTTTGGATGTGTTGTGCAACGGCCCGACCACATGCAATCATGATTACGAATTTGGCTCTGTGGTGACAATGGTTCGAAATCTTCGATACCGAAATCGAATTGATCTGTGTAGAATTCCGACGATGGGAAATTCAATGCATTATAGCTCCAATCCATGTCGGCATCAAAGGCGACCGAGGTGTGATCGGGTATATTCATTTGTATACTGTTTGAGTCAAACATCTCGCTTATCTTTCTAATTCGTTTGTAGCTCAACATAAAATAGATTTAAAAACCACGATGGGTCTGTTCAAAGTTTAAAATATTTATTATTTTTGTTGCTGTGAGATTGTAACACAATCTTTTCTCCTTTACCAATTGGTTGGCTTTCCTTGTCGTTGAAGTTTTTTCGCTGAAGTTGAACCGGTCTAGAAATGAAGCGAAAACGAAAAAAAAAAACGAACGACAACAAAAAAAAAAGATTAAATTGAGTTTCATTTTGTAAGAGGATTGTCAACATTTAGAAAATATTTTCTTGTGATAAAATACGATTTTTTTTTTCGTCGCAATTAAAATTCTGCTTGCAGCGTTTCTTTTATGATACAGTTACCAAGCTAATCAGCAACTTTCGCTTTACGATTAAAGTGATCGATAACAGGCGGTTATTCATTGCATATGCATCGTAAATTATTATTATTTTTGCAGCGCGAGCCCATTTTTTTCTTCTTCTTTCATCTCTCTATTCATGAATGAATGGCATCGCAGAGTGTGCATGTGAGCTCATAATGAGCTCTCTTGTTAGAGCGCAATCCAACTTAAATAAATCGGTTTCTCCCCGTTACTTTATACCTCACTTGCATCGGAAGGTGTAATAATGCGATAGAAGCCAATAATTGATATATAAAATGATCTATTTCTATGTACGGTATAAACGAATAATCAATGAATGACACGGTACCTCTTGGAAAGTGGGGAAATACACGTCGTCGTGGTCGATAATGAAAAAAACACACACACACATACACACTAAACGATGACAACGATGCAAAGTACAAAGATCACATTTGTACGGGTACTCCATAAATGCCGTATGCTTGTTGCTCTAACGAAGCAATGTGCCCATAAAAGGGCGATAAATCATCAATTCATCACCATAAAACCACATCGCGCTCTTGCAATGAGATGCAGACAAATAAAATGAAACGAAACCCTTTAGCCAAAACAAACTCTATGCGAGAGTTGAATGTTTGACGCCTACGCCCGATAAGACTATACTCACGACTCTTAATTAGAATAATGAAATCAATACCTATTTTAAGCGAGGCACAATTGTGAGAGCCGTGCAGTGAGTGCGCTTTGAGTGAAAGGCGTCAATGGCAATAGAAATGAACACATTTATACGGTGATAATCGTTTTGAGAAAGGCAAATGTTTTAATTTAACCAGGCGCAAAAAAAAACGAACAAAATGAACAAACAGAAATAAAGAGTCACACACACAACAAAAACAAATGGTGGCATCGATTCTTGAGTTTTCATTTTGAAATCAACTTGTTATAGTAGTTGGCAACTAAACCGTTGCCGCAACCATTAAAAATTTGATCCGGTGACTTTGATCTCATTAGGTTTGCCATTTTTTTTTATTAATAAAGAATTCCGAATAATGGCTGTACAAAGAGAACGAAGGAAAGGATAGAGTGAAGTGAAGAGAAGAAAAAAAAACCGTCAGTAACAACAACAACATCAAAAAGTCTGGCCAATTTTCGCTTGCATCACATTTTCACACAGTGCAAATCGAATTGGTGCGCCTATTACTGGCTCGCCGACCATTGCCTTTTATTTACTCATTTTACACAATCCATCGATAGCCAATACGATTCGTCACTCTTTCGTCTCGACCGTGTGTGCAGTTCGGTGTGTGTGCGGCTTGCGTTTGGGTTAATGAATTGGAATTGGAATCGAAAAGCTAGCAAAAGACCGACAGTCACACTCACACCCGAATCAGACAGTGAATTAAGGTGGTTGGTGGGGAATGTGCTGTTCGTTCGCTCGCTCGATCGTTTTTTTGTTGTATTTGGTGTGATTGTGCCTAGCGTGCATCAAGATATACATGTGTGGATTTCGACTATGAGGTGCAGTCAATAGGAAACCCACGGATATAGTATAACTGTACCAATATTGTATTTCAGCATGTTGCTGCAAAAAATAATGGAATTTTCCCATACGATATTCAATTGAAGTGAGTGCGATAGCGGGCCAACGCGCGCAAAAATCACACTGGCGGCAACAGCAGCAGCAGCAGCTCTTTAGATCTGACTAAAGACTCTCTGCAGATAGACGAATTGAACGAGTGAAAAAAAATGGGTACAAAGTCATGAATAAGCCAACACATAATCAAATCAACGAACTTGGTGCACTCACTGACTGTCGCATCGCTCAATTTTTTCGTTCCCCTCGGTCGTAACACAGACACGAAGACGGATATCGGATATCACATTTAACCGCAAATGGCACACACAGTGCAGAAACAAATTATATATACGTTTGCATCCAATATTTACACATGCCATTAGTGTTGATCTGTTCGCCTCTCATTCATTTATTTGTTTTTGTTTTTCTTTGCGTGGTGCTGCTGTTGTTGTTATTGCTGCGCTCTCATCATACACATAAAATTGTGCTAAGAAATGGCGCGCGGATTCACCGCATCAATGCTTCTCCGAATTCGAGAGCCGTTTGTAAATATCATTGCGGATCTTGCTTGCATGTGTTGTGTTTCGATCGAGAGCGTATTTACCTCATTCATAGTAAAAAAAAAAAACGAAAACAGCGAGTGATTGACTGTTGCAACCGGCTTTTTTTTCGTTGTTTGCCCGTTCATTCTCTCGCCGCATTGTTTTTCTATATTTTCGTTTCATTCGTTCATCGTTGCCGTGTTGATGGCGCGTATACTATTATTATTATTATTAGTATTTGAGTTCATGATAAAAGCGATGAATCATTATTTTATGACTGACGCCAGCTATGTACAATTCTCAATGGGGCTCAATGAATAGCGACACAATGTATACGAATGGAAGATACGAAGGGAACTGACAACATGTTACCATATGCGAATATGTGTGTTGTTGCCTTCTACTTGTCGGCTTCTGGTGTGCGCGCCGCGCACAGTATCATCGAAGAATTGTGCAAATTCATTTTTTTTTTTTGCTCAATTTTAATAATAAGCATTTTATGTCTCTGTGTATGTGCAGAGCAGTAATGCATTCGAGTATCTTCGATAAACGTAAACGCTTTTCGTTGCTGTTGTTGCTTTTGTTCGATGTGTTGTGAAAAACGAAACTGATTTCGGCATGAAATACATTGTTGGAATTGTGCACACAAAAAAATTATAGTGGCAATAATGTGATGGAGAACAAACTGCGAACGTGATCGCGAGACATGAGCAAAAGGAAATCAAATGATGTGAGCGTGCACTCCAAAGTTTAACAGTGGGCAACGGCGCATTGATGACGCTATACTTGAAGCATTCTTTTTGATAAATAATCTCATTTGCCAGCAAATCACCAAATCTATTTTCCTTCTCCGTAATTGTCGACGGTTTTTTTTTTTCTTCTGAAGCTGTTGCGAAGCTTAAGGCTTTCGGTGGAAAAATTGCACAGCAAAAAATTGGGCTCAATTACATATGCAACACACATGCGGCACACAAATGGAATCGTCATCGTATCTTATTTGCGTTGCTCGTTCGCTTAGCGTTGGCTCCGTTCTTTTTTGTTTTGTTTTTCGCTTTGGATCGGATTTACGGGGAAAAAAACCGATAAGTCATGATTATTAAGTGTGATGTCGTATTTGCAATGATTCAGCTGTGGCGGTCGATATGATTACCTCGTTATTTTTAACATCGTAAATTTAGAACGGAACAAATGGCACTCTCTCAATAGATTCCAACTTGGATACTCTTCAATCGTTCCGATACTCTGATGTGCAATTTTCTATGAATCGTTTTCTAATTTCAAATGTATTTAAGAACGATGACGACGTGTGTTCGTCATGTTAATCCTCGTTCGCCATATGCGCTCATGAATAAAAATAAGAACATTCACTTTCGGTGTCACTGTCCCTTTTTGTCGATCGTGCTTGGCGTGCGTGCACTCATCTTTTGACTAGATCATTATGATTC